AACACCCCAGTGAGTGTGAACACACAGTGAGTGCGAACATCCCAGTGAGTGTGAACACCCAGTGAGTGCGAACACCCCAGTGTGAACACCCAGTGAGTGCGAACGCCCCAGTGAGTGCGAACACCCCAGTGTGTGCAAACACCCCAGTGAGTGTGAACACACAGTGAGTGCAAACACCCCAGTGAGTGCAAACACCCCAGTGAGTGCAAACACCCCAGTGAGTGCCAACACTGTGGCAGAGCTGAATTAACCAGAGCAAGCTGCATCAGGAAGGGCCATCCAGCAAACACCCCAGTGAGTGCCAACACTGTGGCAGAGCTGAATTAACCAGAGCAAGCTGCATCAGGAAGGGCCATCCAGCTGCCAGAGGGTGAGGCGGGCGGTCGTCTCCCCATTTGCACCCCAGGCCCCGTCTGGGCTTGGGTGGAGCTACAGCGGGTGGGCTGCTGAAGCGTTCAGAGGGCTCAGATTTGGGCAGCCCAGGGCTGTGGGTAGGGAGGTCCCCCCATCTGCCAAGGGACAAGGGACACCCCCAAAGACCTACCAGGTTTAGTCTAATCCCTGGCCTGGCCTTTGTACCACCTTGTCCCCACAGGCAGCCTTGCTGCTCCCAGGAAGACCACTGGAGGTGGGGGTGGGGTGAAGCAGGCCTGTGTCCTTGGCCCTGCAGCTCCGAGCCGGGAACGTTCTCTCAGGGCAACTCAATGGGTCCTCAGCCATGCGATCTTCCGGCGCTCACTGGGGGCTAACATGTACTGCACCCAGTGACAGTGTGGGGAACCTGGGTCCTGGCCAACTGCAACTTCGCAGGGAGCCGGGCACCTGAGCCCGCAGGACGCCGGGAGAGCAGCGGCAGGAGTGCGGGGCTGGCGGGGCTGGGGGGCGCTCACGGAGCAGGTGGCGGTGGGCGTGAATGGGGTGCAGGAATGCGGTGGGGGGAGGAGGTGGAGAAGCGGCTGCCAGGCGGTGGGGACAGCTCTTGCTGCCAGAGCAGAAACAGCCATGGGCCTCCGAAGCCCAGCCTGGGTGTGGCCACTGCGGCGGTGGGGGCTCCCCGCACAGAGAACCCCGCGACGAGGCTTCCGGGAGGGTCCGTGCCAAGACGTGCCACAGCGAAGCCATCGGCAATGGCTGCTGTTGCAGTTCTGAGCGCCGTCCTGTCCAGATGGGGACCCCGCCCCACACACCACTCAAGCCACAGACGAAATCCCGTGTTCCAAACACCACGCCCTGGCGTTCCTGCCTGTCAGCCACGCGGCGAGGCATGCATCATGGTCCCCACTTTACAGGAGAGACGGAGGCTCGGTGAGGCTCCCAGCTTGCCCAAGGCCACAGAGCCGGCAAGTGGGAGCAGCCCCGGTCTGCAGATGCCACAGCCTGGGGCCTGTGCCCCCCACCCTGCCTCTCCAGGGTGGTGGACGTGGGTGTCCCCAGCTACCCAGCGGACAGGCTGGAAGAGCAGCCTGGGCAGAGGAGAAAGGACACTGCCCGTCTGAACAGAGTGGTCAGGACAGTGACAAAGCACAGCATGCCCAGGAAGCTGTTCCAGGCTCTACCCCAGCCTGCCCATCGACCTCCAGGGAAAGCAGTCCCGTGACCCTGCCGGCTTTTAATGCCACCTGGAAGCTGGGGCCAGGTTTCCTGGCCCACTGTCTGGTCCTGGGGCTCTAAGCTGCCAACGCTTCATCTCTTCCATCAAAGCCCAAAGAAAGGGGTTGTCCTGGAAAGGGAAGAGCACCTGGTGGGCAGCTCAGGGGTGGTGTGGGCATGCAGGCCATGGCCTTGACTTCTGGACCTCCCAGGAGCAGGAGGGCATCAGAGCTGGAGCCAGAGGGCCCTGAGGGCCCGCTAGTCTATCAGTCAGGGAGCCCCTAGTCTGACAGATCCCAGGACACGGTGACAGCAAGGGGCCTGCAGTCAGAGGCCAGGTCTTCCATGACTCTGGTCAACTGCTAAACCCCACCTGCAAAGTGGGGATAAAAGGATTCTCCTGTTACAAGGTCACAGTGAGGATTAAATGAGCGTCTGAAACCACCCACCACAGCGCCTGGCGCCCAGGACAGAGAGGCCCAATTCCTGGCAGAGGGATGTGGGCGTGGGGGGGGGGGGGGCACGTTCTCAAGTTCACGGCGGCCTGCGCTCGCGGATGCTCTTCCTCAGTTCCAGCTGGCTCACCCAGCCCAGGCGGGGGTCCCAGCCCCTGCCCCCGTCCCAGCTCCGAAGGGTGAACAGAAGCCACACTTACTTGAGGATGTCCTTCTTATTGAAGAAGGTGCAGTCCTGCAAAGGGAAAACACACACAGTCCCTTACAAGTCCCTGGCTCCTTTCTCCCTGGGGACCTCACAGAAGACTCACTCCTGCCCCGCCCCCGCTCCCCCATGGCCCGGCCCCGCCCCTGGCCAAGAGCCGCTGCTTCCCGAAGCTTCTGACCTGGCCCGGGGACTGTGTGCATGGTGTTGGGGAGGGCATTTACGGGCAGATGGAGAGGTCAGAGGTGGATGCCACTGCAGACTGCCCTGAGGGACAAGGGCTGCAGGGCCTCAGCTGCAGGGGTGTGCCATCCACACTGCGAGCCGGGTGGCTCTGGGGGCTGTGTGTGCGGGTGGCTGTGAGCAGAGAGAGAGCCCCAGGTCCACAGGCTGGGGAACACCTGCATCTACCCGGCCTCTGAAGCCTCACGCACAGATGAGGTCACACAGGGAGGCCGTGGAGGCTAGGAGTGTGGGGCAGGTGGGCAGGGAGGGACTGGTGGCATCTGGCCAGAGGAAAGGCGGAGGCTGCTAGGGACCCCCAGGCAGGTGTTTCTCAGGGTGGGGCCAGCATGCACGTCCTAAGGTCGCCAGGTCATAAACCCATCTCAGATGTCCTGCCCTTGTCTGGATGCCAGGCCACAGTGGGAAGTATGGAGGTGAAAAGCTCCCAGCAGCGGAAGGCTTTTGTTCTCATCCCTGATGTCTGGCCCCTCTGCCTTTGCCCACTGCTGCCCCATGAGAGCAGGTGGCACCTTAGGCTCTGCAGAGCCCGAGCCTCCTGGGGCATGAGCAGAGCCGGCCCTGACGAGCGCTTGCGGCTGCTGCCCTGGACAGGACCTGAAGCCACCGGGCACCGGGGCAGCTGGACCGCACACTGAAGAGGGTCCCACTGGGCACCTGTGGGAGACCTGAGGAGGGGGAGCCGGCCCCATGTAGTCAGTCTGTCCTTCTGAGCCACATGCTGCTATCCAGGGGTTGGACTAAGAGCCCTCACATGGCCTTGGCCTTCTAGGAACCTAGGGGCTTCTCCTGGAGGGCTAGGCTTTGCTGTAGGCCATAGCTCCTCTGCCCCACCTCCCCCCCAGCATGGACAGAGAACGCTTTGCCCTACAGGCCTAAGACTCAGGTGGCAATTGTGCGGACTGATTTCCTCAAGTCCCCAGATCCCTGGAGCAGGCCCCAAAGGCGGCCCAGCTGAGTCTTCCCGGTACAGACCTCCCTCGGCCCCAGGGCTGGCTCTATGGCCTGAAGGTGCTCAGCAGAAGGGCCAGGGTCTCCCATCCAGCCTGGTGGGGGTGTCAACATCACCACCAATGGGGAGAGGCCCTGGCTTCTGCTCTCTGTCCCCCTGGCCTATCCTCGCTTCCTCTCCTCTCTCCTCTGCCCTGGGTTGAAAAGTATCTGGGTCCTGACCAAGGGTCCTACAAGGAAAGATACACAAGTTTCTCACATGACCCTCGTCCCTTATCAAAACCACTTACATCTGTCCACGTCAATGGTCCTCAAGGCGTGGTTCCTGGACGGGCAGCACCCAATTCTCAGGCTCCACTCCAGACCTACTTCATCACAAACTCTGGGAGTGGGGGCCAGGAATCTGTGTCTTTAGATCTACCACCTCCAGTGATGCCGATGCTTGCTAAAGTGAGGGCCTCGGCTCTAGGGCAGAATCACTTGGGGAGCTGTTTAAACCTCCTGTGCCCTCTACCAGCAGCCCCAGACCCACACCAGCACCAGCCCCAGCCCCAGCAGCCCCAGCACCAGCACGAACCAGATCCATTAAAGCAGAATCCCTGAGTCTGGAGCCAGGCATCAGAGTTTTCAAAGCTACTCTGATGACTGCAATGTACAGCCCAGGCTGAGAACCACACCTCGACCAGGCCTGGTCTGTGGGGGCTCTGATTATCCAATTTTGTTCAGTCCTCATCACTAGCCTATGGAGGGGAGGGGGCACGCAGTATCTCCCCATTCTATAGATGGGAAAACTGAGGCTCAGTGACACTGGTAGCTTGCTCTTAGCTGCACGTACAGCCCAGAAGGGCTGACTGCAAGCCAGGCCTCTGTGCTTCTTGCCCATGGTCCGCTGGCTGTGAACAGAGTCCACCCGTGAGCACCGCACACGACCACGTCCTGCTGCTGCTGTGTATCGCGATACCTCGCACACCGCACGTGCTCCATATGCGCAGGTGGCACGAGGAGCCAGGCCTCTGCACATAAACCTCCCACAGGCTGCAGAAGGTGTCCGTGAAGACGCTGACCCTGCCCCACCTAATGTTTCTCCTCTCTCTGAGCACCAACAAAGGTGCCGTGAACCTGCTCATCAACTGACGGTTTGCTTTTTCTGCTGTTGACTTATTTGCCTGGAGCTCATTGCAGAAAAGTAGCTCATGGGGGATGAATATGGCAGGAACCTTAAAAGCTTCTCAGGGTTCTGAGGAGCCTGCTGGTGTTTCGTAGTCACATTCCTAAATTCTTGTCTTGCTTTGGATCCTTAGGTGGAGATAGAAGAGGGGAGTCCCCAGGTGAGTTACGGGACTTGCTCGTAGCTGAAAATGTGGGCTGTCTGAGCATGAGCAGAGCAGGGCCAGAGCAGCAGTGGTGGGTTCTGGGGAAGGCAGGGAGCCCTGCTCTGCAGATGGAGGGGCCTGGGAGGTAGATCGATTGATCGGGAAGGCAGAGAAGTCTGGAGAGAAACATGAACTTGGGAACCATTGGCACCTGTGGAGGGGGTAGGGGGAAAGGGGAGGAGGCTGTAACCAGGGCCCTGGCTGGCGAGGAGCTGGCTGGACAGCAGAGGGAGGAGGACTGGGGCTCTCAGGTTTCCTGTGGATTGGGGGGGTGGGTAGGTGGCTGTAACTGGGGCCCTGACTGGCTGGACAGCAGAGGGAGGGGGACTGGGGCTCTCAGGTCTCTTCAGCTCTCATTTCTCCCAGTCTGCCTGGCTCTGGCAGGAGGATCACAACCCAACCCTGGGCCTGGCCCCGAAGCGTAACCCAATGCCGGGCTGGTCTGAGTGGAAACCCAGGCTTCCAGCCCCACGGGGCCACTCTTCACTTCTGAGCATGGTCTACCTGTTTGCCTGTGCCCACGTGGTCCCCTGGAATGCCTCCTTCTAGGCCTGCTCGAGGGCTCCACTGTCTCTGATCCTTGCAAAGCAAAAGCCCCCCATTCCCTCCTGGTGTTCCCTGGCCCACTAGGGCCCTCCCCTAGAGCATGCCACACTGCCAGTCTCTCAGAAGGCTGGCCGGCCTCCAAGACCAAGAGCACACACAGGCCGTGCCCCCAAACAAACACAAAGAGCCTTGGGCTTGAGCCCTGACTGGCGCCTCAGCCTTTGTTTACTCCTCTGTGAAATGGGGCTGAAAACCACCCACTGTGAGGGCCCCTGTTCCAGAGCCTGGGACCACAGCAGGTGCCCCGTGACTGTGGCTCCCTGCGCCTTCTCAGGGCCTCACGTGAAGCTGACAACTATTAATGACAGTCAGGGTTTCTGAGAAGGGGCCTATTTTACGTCTGCCCACATCAGAGGGCTCCCACGTCCAGCCCGTTACCAAAATAACTACTGGGGAAGGCAGCAGGCAGCCTCGTGGCTCCCACAGCACAATCAGGGCGCCCTGCCCGGGGGAGTGGGGGGACAGGCATCACCTCGGGCCTTGGAGGAGGAAGAACGTCCAGGCTGCTGTAGACAGTCGGGGGTGGCTGCAGTGCACAGGGCAGGGCAGGGGCCTGGGAGGCGGGCCAGGGCCCCCGCGGGCCCGGGCTGGGGCTTCATCCTGCACCCGCGGCCTGCACCCACTGGCGGGAGGGCTTTGGACCTCTGGTCTGGACAGTTTCGTGGCTCTGGAGGCAGGAGGTCCTAGAAGGGTCTTAGGGGGTGGCTGCTGGGGGACTCGGGGACCAGATGTGGACTGGTCTCTGGCCTCCTCCTTGCTCCAAGTATTTCCATGCTGGGGCCAGAGGGAGAGACCCCTACAGATAAACAAGACACCCCCAACTTAGAACTGCATTTGGGGGGATGCACCTCACTCCCGACCCAGACAGGACCCCACTCTCCTGGGCTGCTTTCTGGGACAGGGGACCCTCCCTCCAGCCGGCGTTTAATGACCCGCCAACTCCGTGCCAAGGTGGGCGCTGGGGCAGGTGGCTGGGGAGGGGGTCGCGTCCAGCCTGGGGCCGAGAGCAAGGAGCCTGAAGGCGGGTGAGGCGCGCCGGCGAGTATCTCCCCACTGGAAAGCGCTCTCAACGCAAGGGTGGGGAAACTGAGGCCCAAGGTCACGCTTCGAGCTGAAGGCAGGGGCAGGGTCTGCAGCCGGCACGCGGCGCGGAAAGCAGGGGAGGGCGGGCGCCGGCTCACCTGGTAGTTGTCCAGCTGCTCCTCGGTGAAGATGGTCTGCTTGTTGCCCATAGCGGCTGCTGCGCCGTCGCCCGGGCGCTGGGGCCCGAGCTCGCGGCACCCGGACCCGCCCCG